ACACTGAAGAAAATATTCTTTGGAAGTATACATCTGAATATATATTTTAAAAGCTGACATTGCTTAATTGCCTTCATAAATACAAGAGCATTGCATGTACATATTTATTAACCAAACCTTGGCTCAAATCTCAGAGTTTAGCATATGGCAGCTGAATAAGCTCTTTTAGAGTATGATTTGAGTAATATGTTCAGAAGAAAAGAGAAAAGGAATACTGAAGAGAAAGAGACAGTATCAGAGGAAGGAGTTAATACAGATAATTAAGATTCTTTCTCCTCTACCATCGTTCTTGAAAGTAACTCTGGTGCAGAACACACTCAGTGATTAATTCTTACTAGGAACATAACATAATCAGGAGGCAGCATCGGTTCACCTGTAAGACCATAACTTTGTGGGAACATTGTATTTATAGGATAATTGTTAAAGTGAAGCAGAGAACAGAGCCCTCCTTTATTTCTTGGCATGTTTCTTCTTGTTCCAAAACTGGAATGAAAACGAAGCAATATTTTTTCCGGGTCCCAACTGTTTTAATATAGTTAAATCTACTCTGATTTTCTTTGGTCTTCTGTGCAGATGGTAAAGGAGAAACAGACTTACTTGTGGCCTATGCAGAAATGCCAGGAGACCCCCAAGTAGGTTAGAATGTCAGCAAGGCAGAGGCAGTGGAAACTTCTGGACCATAAAACGATGACAAAGAGCAGAAACATGAAAAGAAACATCATCTAGCCTCTCTCTGCTTTTCTAAAACCTCTATCTCCTTTCAATGGGAAATAATCAATTATACAATAATACCTTTTTCTTACGTTATTCAGACAGGTGATTGCTAATCCTACATCCTGGATTTCCATATGAGCTATTTTTATTAAGATCTGATTAACTAGTCTCCAAATATATCACATATGTATCTAATTTTATATTGAGTTACATATCTTAAATTAAGATTATCGAATCATTCTCTTTCAATAGTATTTACTTCAATTGCTTAGCTTAATAATGAATTATTAAAATGTTTTATGTTACAAAACATTATTTTACATCCTTTATTAGTTACTTTTAGTTGCTGTGATAAGGTATCAAAACCAAGGGGGCTCACAGAAGGGAGATTTATTTGGGTTTACAGCTCCAGAGGGAGAATCCATTCGGTGGGGAAGCAGTGCAGCAGGGAGCCAGAGCAGGAAGCTGAGATCACTTCTTTACCCACCTGCAGAAAGCAGAATGAATCGGAAGTGGGACCAGGCTATCCACTCTCAAAGCCCAACTCCAGTGACATAATTCCTGAACATTCTCTAACCTATCCCAGTGCAAACCACAGATTAAGTGTTCAAATACTTGAACCTACTGGGGACATTGCTCATTCAAACTCCCACACACATCCATTATTACCAAAGTAAGGTGCCCTTCATCCCCAATGAAAACTATCTATACAAGTACTAGAATATATGAATGTTATAAAGAGGGGTATGGATCTTTTACAGAGTCACATGTACCTGAGTGTTATAGAGATTGGAAAGAGTACATCGTAAGTCATCTGGAAATCTCCAAACTGAAGATATCAGTGACATACAATGCTTTCATAAAATGCTAGGAACAGTAATATTTGCTTTAGATGTGGCTATCATGTAGTTGCTTGGATCATTCATTAGGAAACCATAGCCGGGCATAGCAGCACATGCCTTTAATCCTAGCACTTCGTAGGCAGAGGCAAGTGGATCTCTGTGAGTTTGAGGCCAGCCTGGTCTACAAAGTAAGTTTCAAGACAGCCAGGATTGTCATACAGAGAAATCCTGTCTCGAAAAACCAAAACCAAAACTAAAACCTAAAAGAAATGAAAAAGAAAGAAAGATAGAAAGATAGAAAGAAAATGGCATCGGCTTTGCCATACTAAACCACTAGGATTAGAATTTGAAATTCAGTATCTTTAAAATTTCCTTTTTGTCTGAGAGAATGTGAAGCTGATACCCTGTCCAATGAATGCCAGGAGTTTTGTGTCAGATCATACCTCTCATATATACTTTATTATACTGATTATTTTTTAAAACTCTCAGATTTGTAGTTATCAAACTGAAATATAAGAGCATATTAGAACTTCTAAGACAATATTTGTAAACTGTAGTAATGGTAGAACCATTGAAATGATTGATGGTTTCGCCTATTAAGGTCTTGGTGGCTTGATAGTCTTCTAACTAGGATATTCCTAGAACTTCTTAATTTCTACCTATCTAGTGGATAAAACCATTTCACTCCGACCTTAATTTGTATCTTTCTGATTTGTAATATGGCTGAACATCTCTTCAGGGGTTTATTTACTGCATGTGTTTCTTTTGAGAAAATTTTAATGATTTTGCAAAGCTAATTATGCCATCATGTCTTTTTTGTTGCTTACTAACATGTATAGCAGAAAAGCCAAGGTCCTTGGCATGGATATAACACTTTCCTCTGTCTGTATCTGTAGTAATGACTCCCAGTGTTGCCTACTGCTCACAATTCACTAGAAATTCGGAATTGCCACTTCACTGGGTCTCTACACATTTGTTTATACTATTTCCTCTGTAGAATTCCCTTCTCATTCTTGATGACACTAATGTTTTACTAAGTGTCAGTTCAAGACATTTCCAGGATATTTTCCCTAACTCTTATGCTGAATTAAAACCTGCTCCTCTGAATTCTTAGAAACACTTTGTAGAATTCTATCATTGTACACTCTTCAGGCTCCTAAAGAACAAAACTCATTTGATTTCCAGCACCCAGAAGGGTGTTCTATTCCAATATAATTTAATGACCACTGATACTTGTTGTATATTTGAACTGAAGAGACACCCTACAGTAAGCTACAAATGAGGATTTGAAGTTCAGGAGAATGATATGAGCTAAAGATGCTGGAAATAGCTGAAGTCTTTTAAGGCAAAGGGGGCTAATATTTGCAGGGTCTAATTTATAGTGGACATAGGTTAGGCATTTATTCATTTATGTACAACTTTACAGGTGGCTACTGTTTCATAGATAAAGAAATAGGCTCAGAAAGCTTAAGCAACCAGTCCAAGGTTCACAAAACAAATACACACTAGAGCTGGGATTTGACTCAGTCTTTGAAGGCCCAAACTCTTCATCACACACAGAAGATGAAGCCACCAAGGAAAACGGAGTGGGGGGAGCAAGTGAAAGGAAGAACGTTAGAAGAGTTGGTGGCAGGAGCTACATCCCAGAGATGAGTCTACGAAGAATCCAAGAGGGGGAACTGAGAGGTGAAGGAAACACCATTAGGGACTGGTGTGCTGAGAAACAACAGCCAAGTACTCCAGAAAGTATAGAGCCGGCTCAATGCTTCACATAACCAAGTAATTTAAGAACTAAATGGTATCTTCTGAGTTTCAATCTGGTCATCTGGTTAACTCTGGAAATAAGAAAGAGTAGTGAAGAAAGCACAGGGAAATGATAAAAGGTTGGTGTTTCCCTCAATGATGGATTAGAATGTAAGCCAACTAAGAGCCCCCCAACCCCACCCCGTTCCCACCCTGTTCTCCACCAAAAAAGAAAAGGTTGGCAGCATTGATGACCGATTAACAGGTCATTCTGTCCAGAATCGATATGTAAAGGGGAGAGAGGGAACAAGTAAACAATTGGGGCTTAGGAGGCTCTTCTCATTCTTTGAAGTTTCAAATGTCACAGACATGGGTATGTCTAAGAACTTGAGCGGAAAATCCAGCAGGGGGAGAGAATTCAAGATACATCTGAGAGGATGGCTTAATGAAGCAACGCCGGGGAAGAGGCAGAAGAAAGGATCCAAAGTAAGGTTTGACGAGGACAGCCCACTGGGATGTTCCTAGCTGGAAGTGGGAGTTAATCTTCTGTGAAGTGGAGAGAAAATAATAGGTCTGACATTACAGAGGCATCTGAGTCTCTTCCTAAGTATGAAACAGCGTGCCTGGAATCCAGAAACCACTTTCTTGGGGTGCCAGGACTGCAAAGGAGAGGGCCACAGCAAGCACCTCAGAGGCAGGTGCCATTATACTAGGACGTGCACTGTCGTAGGACTTCTCCTTCAGAGTAACTTTCCCTTCTGTTCGCAGTATTTTTTCGTCAGCCTAGATCTCTCTGGTTGTGTAACTGTCCCCACAGACTCTGACAGTCTCCCTTGCTCTGGCTTCCAAGACTACCCAACATTCCAGAGCCAGATCAATAGTCATCAAACACTGCTTTGAACTTGCTTCTTTGTGGGCCGCCTACAGAATAAAGTGCAAAGTGCGAGCATTTTAACCCTCCAGTCTGGCCCTACCCTGTTTTCCAACCTAAATCTTTCCGTCTACTAGGGACACGCACCACTAGGCAAGACTCCTTCCCTCGTTACCCTCCACGTTTCTCACAGACAGGACAGTCGGTAGTCTAGGCTGCTGGTTTGGCGATCAGAAGGACCAGGAGCTTAGATCTCTGAGCTCGTGTTAATGCTCTGTGATCCTTCTCGCTATCTGTAATTCCTAATAAAGGGCTCGGCATCTCCTTTTGGCACTGGGCCCCGCCAACTTCGCCGCTTGGTGCGAGGTCAGTGTCCTCAGCTCTCACCGCAGACACTGGTTAAAATTCACCCACGACAAGCACGGGGCCAGGAAACCAGGCAAAAATGAAAGCACCGAGGTGGAGATGCGCAAGGACCTCTCTTTCCCGCCAGGCGCTCAAAACTCCGCCTGCACCCCCCTAGGCCGCCTCAGACCGGTTCCAGCTGGATTTCTTCAGGCAGCTCAAACGCCAAATAGAATTCCTGCGCTTTCCCAGCCACAACCAATCCCTGCAGCCCCTCGGGCTCCCAAAGCTCCCCGAACGCTGATTAGCTGACGGGGCGGGCCCGGGGGCGGGCGCAGAGCGGACCAGAGGGTGGAGAGGGAGGTGGGGGCCGGGCCGAGAGGCCACTGCGCAGGCGCAGGAAGGAAACGGATAAACAAACAAACAAAACCCACCACCCGTAGGCCAGCCCCGTTCCCCGCCCCCCTGTCCCCCCCCACCCCCACCCCCCACCCCCGGTCCTCGCCGGGGCTCCCCGGCCGCGCCAGCGTCTGGGCACGTTCCCCGCTAGTGACGCGTTCCACGCAGGTTCCCCGCACTTAACCTCTGCGCGCCCGGCGCGGGGCTGGCGGCGGGGAGTGCGAGCCTGCAGCCGCAGCCCCGCGGACCATGACTTGCTACCGGGGCTTCCTGCTGGGCAGCTGCCGGCGCGTGGCGGGCGGCCGGGCGGCTCTGCGGGGCTCGGGCGCGGACGGACGGCGGCCCCTGGGGCACGGGCAGCCGCGCGAGCTGGCGGGCCGTGGCAGCCCCGCCGACGGCGGCTTCCGCCCCTCGCGGGTGGTGGTGGTGGCGAAAACCACCCGCTACGAGTTCGAGCAGCAGCGGTACCGCTACGCCGAGCTCTCGGAGGAGGACCTGAAGCAGCTGGTGGGTCCTGGCGGGGACGGCCGGGGACGGCCGGGGACGGCCGGGACGGGGGAGGGGTAGGAGGGTGGGGGTGCAGCTGAGCCCCGCGGGACACAGGGCACCCGCAAAGCCCGACGGCCTCCCTCCGATTGCCTGTGTCCCCCCCGCCCCCCCCACCCCGCCCCAACTCCGAGCTTGGGAGATTGGCGTCCCGAACCCTCCATGGAGGGGCCCCTGGAACCGGGACTTGGGAAGCCACGTGTGCCCTCGCCCCGGCCTCGGGAGCACTGACGCCGATCGCTGAGAAGGTGAACCGGTGGCTTGAGGGTTGTTCGCCTTGGGGACCTCTCCCCAGGCCGCCCCGAGGAAAAAAAAAAAATTCCCGTGCGCGGCTGCTGGCGGCGGAGAGAGGGCCGTGGTGCCACGGACACACCCCCTTGACGCCCGGGGACCGAGGCCTGGCCAGGGAAAGCCTTGCTGGAATGTGGTCGCTGGTCCAGGGTCTCTGGCCACTTGAAAAGCGCCCGGGACAGCGTGGCAGGAAAGTTGACCTGAGATGTGTTTTTGTGTAGGAAGGTCAGATAATGGACAAGTAAGCAGGATAATGGGTGAAAGGAAGAGCTTGTCCCCCTGAAGTAACAGTGCCTCTGCGATACACTGTATTTGGTATATTTACTAACAGCCTTGCCAGGTGTACAAAACCAGGCGTGTATGTGTGTGGGAGGGACTGAACCCAGAGTTTGAGCTTCCCCATTTTCGAAAAATTTGATTTTTGTGCTACACAGTAACTTTAGGGAAATGGGCTGTTGGCAGTTTATCTAGATTCTAGGTAAATTTTCTAGATGCTAGAAAGCTCCCCATTGAACGTCTGTAATTGTTGATTCCAGGCACCCGAAGGCTTTAGAATTAATTGTATATAACCATTATTCAGTTATGTACAAGAGTAGATAGGCTGCCTATTCTTAAAACCTGGTGATGCTCTGTAAAATACCATTTTTTGGGGGGCGGGGGGGAGACGGGAGAAACACATTGTAAATCTTTGCTTAGCTATAGCATCTTGTCAGTCTTGTTTGATTGGCAAATTGAAGGGCCACTTGGTAGAAGGCAGTGTGCAAATTTATTGTCTCTTTCTCCCAAGTGTTTATAGAAGACATTTGCGTTATTAGAGAATATCAGCACTTTGCCTGGGGTAGTTTGTGTCATCGACTGAAATGAATGCAGTGAGGGGAGATTGTTGGCCAAATGGAAGCACACGGTTTCTATTTTGGAAAAAGAGGTGTGTCCTTTTGGTTATACGCCCGACTTTGCAAGGTTCACCTTTTAGAAATTGTGAAACACCGTGTATGCTTAGCCTCACACAATTTTATCTAAGACTCTCTAAATGGTACACTCAAGAAATAGACAGCCGGGCGGTGGTGGCGCACGCCTTTAATCCCAGCACTCGGGAGGCAGAGCCAGGCGGATCTCTGTGAGTTCGAGGCCAGCCTGGACTACCAAGTGAGTTCCAGGAAAGGCGCAAAGCTACACAGAGAAACCCTGTCTCGAAAAAAAAAAAAAAAAAAAAAAAAAAAAAAAAAAAAAAAAAAAGAAATAGACAAACAAAAATGAACTGGTACTTTTCAAGTCTGCAGTACAGAGGGTGGGATTGTTGCCAGGAGCTTGAGGTGCTGCTTGGTTCTGTGTGACCGACTCCCTTTGCGTTGTTCAACTTCTCTTGACCTCCTGAGTGAAATAAAACATCTGTACTGTAATGTTAGCTTTCAAAAGTTCATTCACCTAGTTCCCGATGGGTTGGGCTAAATAGCTCCCAAGGTCCTTTCTGGAGCTGGCATTTTGAAATTATTTCAAGGACTCTGGAAAATGGGTGGTATTGAATTGAGATTAACTTTTTTTTTTAAATCTCTGAACTAGATCACTACTAATGAAACCTCTTAAAATGTAGGGATAATTGGTGTCCTTAAAAACTCAACCTCCCTCTTTGAGTGAAGAAAAATCTTAATACGTAGTATTTGTCTGTCACTGGGTGATGCTGTTAGAATAAGACAGCGTTGAAGTATGACTCCTGGGCTGTACAGTTTTGTGATCGCCAGGAGACGGAGGCGGAATAGGGTTTTGTTGCTGCAGTTTTACTGGATTTCTTCCTTACCGATAGGAGTTGGTTTTGCATTGATGTTAAGGCAGCTTTTGCAGTGAGATTGCATTAGGTGTAGCCTGAATAAGAAGAGCTGAGGAATACCAGTCTGTGTGAAGTTCTCCCATGGTATTCCGTAGAAAGTAGGAACAGAAAGAATTTCACGTTGTTCGTTATCTTGTTGGGGTAGAACTCATCTAAGGTGCATGAATTGGTTATAAAAGAAAATAACTAAGTGTGTGTTTCATGCCACTGCTACTACAGCTACTGTGTCCAGAACATCATGATAACATGATTTTGTATGAGAGCATTCCCTTTTGTTATGCTTTTTTTTTTTTTTAAAAAAAATAGTGCAAAATAGGTCCCTATTTAGGGTACTTATTTAAAATACAGTAGATGCTGGCCAGAGTGTCCGTGTAGTTTTCTTTCCTGAAGCATCTGGCCTTCTGCCTTTGTAGAAAGGCAAAGAGTTACATGAAGTGTCCTTTTAATTGATGAAGCCTGTACAAGGATAGGATTATATCCTCCCGCTTGGGGCAGAAGTCCGCCTTTCAGTTGATCTTGCTGGTAGTATTGCATTATTTCAGTCTTGCCTTTCTTCCCATTGGTTGATTCATGACTTATCAGAAGCTGGTGGCAGAGGCGGAGCTTTTATTAACCGGACACCTTGACAGCCACACGTTAGACTTTAGGTGAAACAAAGCTGATTTGGCAAAGGATATTCTTGCCAAAACCACACTTGGTCAGCCAAAGAAAAGGTTTTATTTAAGATACTTCATTGAACAAATAGATAGGAAAGATGCCGTTTCTGTCTTGCCTTCTCCCATTCTCTTGTAGCCTCAGAGGAACAACCATCTTTAATGACTTCCGTTTTTAGATACAACAGGATGAAGTAAGTTCACTTAATGACACATCTCTTGGATTAAAATATGTCTGCTTTTTGTCTTCATAGCTGGTTTTTAGGTGGAGATGTAATGCCTTGCTTTTGTTTCCTTTTGTTTGGGGAAAAAAAAAAAGAAAAGATGGGCGGTTTAGGTTTAGTAACTCCTGGGCAGCTAATTCTCTCCCACATAGATGCAGTCAGCTGTGTAAGTAGTTAGCACATTCCAGCCTGTGGCTGGAAGATCTGGGGTGTTACTGTCAGATCTTCCAGCCACAGGCACCAGAGCCATCTATCTAAGGGTGAACATCTGGCCTCTCGGCTCCTCGGCGGCGTGTCAGTACCCAGAGGCTCCCTTCATCACCCAGGGAATTTACCAAAGTGCAGATCCCTGAACCTCCCCTCTCACGGTTCTGATTCTGTGTGGAGAATTCCAGCACTGTGCTTCTCTGAACCATATGCCTAAGATTACTATGGATGAATCCTAGGGATCTACTGTTTTATTTTTTAAACCAGTTTCCTGTGTTTTCGACTGGTTCCCAGATCATACTTGGAGAAACACTGTATTTCAGTAACCTCTTCATAGGTAGGGACTCTTGTCTCCCTCTTGGACTTCATTGCTTATTCTTTCTAGAACTTCACATTTTGGCAGTCTTAAACAGTTTTAATTTTCGTTGGATGTGCTGATTTAATTTGAGCTCCTTATGGATCAGCGGCCCATTAAAACTGTTCAAGATGCAAAGCAATGCTGTGTAATCAAAGTCTTCCCTTCTTGGTGCCGCCTTTTATTCAGTGTCGGCCCCTGCAAGTGACATGTTCATCCATGTCTTGTGTTGTGTTTCCTTTTGGAAATAGTCCCTGTGCATGAGTAAGCACAGTGAAATGCTTTTGCTTTTCCTTTCTTTCTTTCTCTTTAACTTTCTTTTTGAAAAAATTTATTCTTTCTGTCTTTCACATCATGCATCCCCGATCCCACCCATATCCCATCCCCTCTCATCCGCCCTCTGCCCCTGCAACTTCCCCACAAACTAAAACAAGATTAAAATTTAAGATTAAAAAAGGAAAAAGAAAGCCGGGCGGTGGTGGCGCACGCCTTTAATCCCAGCACTCGGGAGGCAGAGGCAGGCGGATCTCTGTGAGTTCGAGGCCAGCCTGGTCTCCAAAGCGAGTACCAGGAAAGGCGCAAAGCTACACAGAGAAACCCTGTCTCGAAAAACCAAAAAAAAAAAAAAAAAAAAAAAAAAAAAAGGAAAAAGAAAAGAACAAAATAAAGGGAAGAAAGGGGAAATCTTGTCATGGAAGCTGCAGTGTGACACAGTGAGTCAGGAAGTAAACCCCTTTATCCATACATGTTTACATGCAGGTGCTCATCACAATCATTGGTTTGGTTTGAGGCCTCTGGTCTCTGCTACACTAGCAACACTGGGCTCTCACTGGGACTGTTCCTGGGCATCCTGTTGCTGCCCTGTGTCGTGGGGATCCTGTAGTCCTGGGTATGAAGAACCCCCCCCCCCCCCCACACACACACACACACACACACCATGTTCCAGCAGATCACAGTTGGGGTGGGCCAACACTTAACCCTGGTTCTGGGCCTGGGTGGTTGCAGGGTTGGTCAGCTGGCCAGCTCTCCCCTGTCCTTACCCCCAGGGGGAGCTCTCCAGCATTTCCCTGGCTAGTTCACCCCTTGAGCAAGGGATGGGGCCAGTTCTCCAGCTTTCACACCCTCAGGTTGGTCCTCCCACACCTACACCTTCAGGGCCAGCTCTACTGTGTTGTCTAGTCTAGGTGTAGGGTCCACTTTCCCAAGTGCTGCAGCTGTTAAGGGGGAGTGTCAGCTCCCTTGCCCCTGCCACAGGTGGCAGGGGCAAGGGGGAGTTGCTTTTTTCTATAACTCATCTCATTTTGCTCAAAGATAAATTATTCTGTAGCTTTTCTTTAGCGTAGCAGTATTTATGCCGATTCTCATACAGAGTATTCACATTCTGTTATTTTAACGGCACGTACGTA